CCCCAAAACCCCAAAACCCCAAAACCCCAAGCTTTTTAGATTTGAATTTTATTAGAATTAATCAATATATTAATAAACAAACTTATCTCATTTGGACTTCTTTGCCTTTTTTTATTGTTTTATTGCTAAAATTTACCAAGATATACCTGATAGCTTAATTATATTAGTTTTATTTTATCATGCTATCGCTTATTACAACCTCAATCTTTTCTTATTTTCAACAACCATATCCTCCAGCTCTATATAACCTTAATCTACCCTTTTCCTTTTCCCAAAACTCGGTGATTGAATCCTCAAATCTGAGTAATATTATTACGAGGAATTAGCAATTTCTGAAATCTGAAAGTATTTATTGTAATCAAATCCTCTGCTTGCTTCATTATTAAAACTATTTTTATTTTTAATTTCTACATCAGTCTGTCTTATATAAGTTTCAGGATCAATTTACTCAAGAGGTGTCCTTAAATTAAGATCTGAATATTAATGTGTTCTCGAGATTTATTCACATTATTCATCATCGAAATATATTGACAATGTCTTGGTAAATTAATCAAAGCTTTTGAATTTAGTTCCTAAGTCTGACTTAATTTTATTCTATAGATTAGGAGGCAATAGCTGCATATTGATATTTTATACAAATGTCTTGTATCTATAATTTATTCTTTCTTCTGGACCTAATTGAAGTATTTTTGCTATTTTAAATATCTCCCTTCCATTATAAAAATAAGTATCATTGTAAAGCTAATTGCCTGAATAATACTTTGCAGTTACATATCGACATCTTAAGATTTCTCATAATATTAATTCTTTATTTTATATTGGAAAAACTTAACATATTTTAGTGATCATCAGGCACAAGTCATTCAAATATCTGTTTACTTAATGAGTTCTAACTACTTTATCTTTCTTAATTTTGCAAAATTCTTGATATTTCAAATTAAATGTTAACTGAAGTTCATTTTAATCCAAGTTTTATAAAGCTTCTAATTTGAGATTGAAGATTTTCTTGAATTTCTCTCTCATAATGAATTTGTTGATGGTGAAGTAAATATTTTTATGTTTCTTTTCATTTTATAACTTGCTTATTTTTTCCTCAGCTTCTTATAGAAGATGCTTATCATGTTTGGCAGAGGGTCTGATATTTTGATAACCAAGTTTCAATGCTATTACACTGCATTAGAAGAATTCATTATCCTCTTGAAAATCATCAAGTAATTATTACTCGATTCTCCATCATTTATATATATCTTCAATAGTGGGATCATTTTTTCTTTAATTTCTAAGTTCATATTGACTATTATGCCTAATGTAATGAAATCTTCTTGAAAAATACTTACTTAGGTTTATATCAGTTACTTCCTATTCTATGTATTATAAAGCGGTTTAGTAGTGTTCTTCTTCAAAAGTAACCATTTATTTTTTATAAATCATCATCTGATTGCAAATCATATAGAGAGACATTAGCTTGAAGAAGCTGTAAATGGATTTAGTCTTTAGAACAATGTTAACTTCAAATGCATCTTATGACTTACTTACTTCTTCATTCATCCAATTTTCTAACTAATCGATGTTATTATAGAAAGCTATTATTTCATTTAAGGATTATTTAAAGTTATCAAGGAGGTAGTCAATATCAGATAAGATTATATTATGTAATGGTCTCGGTAGCTAATTTATCTTTGTTCTTAACTCTAGTAATTCATTCTTTTAGCTTTTGGATTTAACTTCCCTGCTAAGTTTGAAATAGTCTTTTATAGGTTTTTTAATGCAGTTTGGAATGTATGCTATGATTTTACTTTAAACATTATCATTAATACTTCCAGAAACGTTTTAATCCATTTTCTTTTTGTTCAATTTCTTCAATCTAGAGTATTTCATAACCTCTTGAGTAATAAGCAAGATGGTGTCAGAGTTTAATAAATTTATTTCGTTCATTATAAATTCATATTATTTAAAGGCTTTTTAAACGTTAATGACAAGTTTATTTAAATTTTTACAATCTTAATTTGATGATATCTTGCTACTTGGGGTTTTGGGGTTTTGGGGTTTTGGGG